ATTGGTGGACTAACAACTGTAGTACCAGCTAGAACTAGAGTCAGTTGGTTCTCCTTCGGGACAGTACCATGCACCAGTGGTGGAGCCAAAGAGTTGCTACCCTGTTCTGCTCTCTCCATCCTCTTTCTTGTTTGGTCCTCCATCACCATACCTAAGTCAGCACTTGCTCCACCTCCCTCCTTCAGCACCAAGGTCCTTCCATCAGTAGCGCCTAGATCACCATCCTCCTGAAAATCCTCCTGCGTCCCTAGTGCAGGGGTTGGGCCTCGCCCACCATTGTGACCTCCTCTTCTTCCTCCCCGACGACATCGTCGACCTCCTGGACCTTGGCCAGACCTCATAAACTAGTCAGCCCGTAACTCCTTGAAGACGAGAGCCGATGCAGGATGTATTCCTGTGCCATGCTCCTTAAACAAGTGACCAAGCATTCAACAAACTGTGCACCAGTCTGGCAGCTTCTCATACTTAACTCGATAAATCTGGCGCTTAGTTTCACGGATCATAGACATGGCGTTCTTTAGTGGCTTTGTGACATCAATTCTTTTAGAGAAAAGGCGTCGGCCGAGCCTGAGAAGAGATCGAACCTAGCCCGACTTTGAATTAACAAAGCCATCAACCAGCCAGGATACGAGGGCACCACATTACAGAGGGGGTGAATGCAAAGCAAATCGGAAAGAAGATACAAGGTGCTAGGCAGAACAACACAATGGCAACAACTGGAGCCAAGCACACAACACCGTTGCCAACGACTAGCACTACGCCTACACCTACTAGCCAACCGGGAGCCCGAGAGGAGGGACACCCCGTGCAAGCATTGAGCGCCGGCTGCATCCATGACCAAACTTGGGCAACACTCGTCTCCACCGTCGCAAAGGGCCACTACCCTTTCACCCAAGCTTGATGGGTGCTGCACCGGTGACCGCAGAGTGGCTACCACATAAACCATCTCAAGGTGACCAAGCTACCATAGGAGAAGCAGACAACGCCGACCCACGAACAATGGAAGCCCATCCAGACGAGAACCAAAGCCGGCAAAGGCAACACGAAGCACATGACGTGAGTTGTCGGACGAAGACGCACCACCATGAAGAAGACCGAAGAAGGTTCACCACGCAAGGGCGAGCCCGAGCAGGATGAAGTAGGAATATCAGGCCATCGTGCTTCGGAACTAGGACACCGGCCACTCCACCACCAAGAGCCAATCCCGACTGTCGCCTTCAAGAAGGAGCACGCCACCGAGGTGTCGTCGAGCCCAGACCAAGGGAGAGCCGGCTTTCGCTGGAGCTCAAGGGGTAGGCGGGAGGGGGAGGGTCCACCCCAAAGCCTCCAGGAAGGGAATCGACGCTAAAGACGTCGACTTTGGGGAGGGGCGCCGCGCCGGCCAGGGGTTTCCCCCGGAACCACACCCAAACGCCAGATCCGACCGTCCGGCAGCATAAGACGACGGACTCCGCCGCTAGGGACCACCGCCGACGCAGATCGGAGCAGATCGAGCCGGGATCGAAGCTTCTTCAAGGGACCCGGCGGGCTACGAGGAGCCACTGACCGCGACCTCCACACTGCCCACACTGCTGTGGGAAGCCACCCAGCACCCGTCGGCGCCGCCCGCCGCCCAGGCCGCGCCGCACGCCATTGGCCAGGGCCGCCGCCCCGGGAGCCACAGCCCTCCATCCGAGGAGGAGGCGCCGAATCCCCGCCGCTAGGGCTGGGCGTTCGGTTTACCCGAACCGTTCGGGTCAGTTCCTCGGTCTATTTTAAATTTCGGTTTTGCCAAAATGCTGACCGACCGGTTAGTAGAAAATAAGCTAACCGAAGATTAGCTGCACCGAAATTTCGGTTCGGTCGTCGGTTCTACCGAACACCACCGAGATATATTAAAATAGCAGACGTAAGAGCAACTCCAATGGGGCGACCCATTTCGTCCGCCCGCGTCTGTTTGGGTCGGCGCGGACAAAAGTGGCGGCTCAACGCGCCGACCCAAACTCAAATCGTGTCCGCCCGGCGTCCGCGCCGACCCATTTCCGGCCCAAAATTGCGCCTGGAATGCGTCGGTGCGGACGCAAAGCGGACGCGCCGCGCGTCTCCTCGCCGTTCGCCGTGTCCCCACCTGGCGGCCATCCAACTACTATGGTCAACATAATTTATGACGACCACCCACCTTGGGCCCACGCGTCAGCGATGGCGGTCGTCCTTTTTTAAGCCGGGCGTGCGGCGGGCCATCCTCATCCACTACCACTCGCCCCCCGTCCCCATCTGGCCACCCCTGCCCCCACGCCAGCGACAACCCTAGCCCCGCCAGCATGGGTTTCTTCTCCGGCGTCGGCAGCAGCCGCAAGGGAAAAGCCCCCGCCCGCCATTCCCCCTCCCTCCCCGCCCTCCCCGCGCCGGCCCGCGCTCCCCGGCAGAGGCAGCGCATCAACGTGCCGGTGCACCAGGCCGAGTGGCACTGGCACCACCGCGTGCCTCTGCTGTACCCGGACGTGACGCTGTCGCACGACTGGCATTTGGATCCGGAGAGGATCCCAGTGCCGGCGGCGCCGCGGACGGCCAGGGCCCATGCGGAGGAGGTGCGGCGCCGGCGGGCGTTGCTGAGCGAGGAGCAGTGCGCCGACCCGCGCTTCGCCATCGACTCGCTCAACTGGGCTCGATGGTTCGCCATCAAGCACGAGGAGGCGAGGCGACGCGGCGTCCGCGGCGTCGACCACAGCCTGCCGCCGCCCGCGCTCGTCGTCCGCGACGAGGACCAGGAGGCCGAGGCCGCCTACCAGGCGACCATCAAGGAGAGCGAGGAGGAGGATCGCTAGAGAGAGGCGGACGAGGCGGCTTTCGAGGCTGCCATCAAGGAGAGCGAGGAGGAGGATCGCTAGAGAGAGGCGGACGAGGCGGCTTTCGAGGCTGCCATGGCGGAGGCCATGGCCCTCTTCACGGCGGGCGACTGCGTCGTGCCGCCGGTGGCCCCGCCGTCCCCGCTCAAAGCCGAGCCGGAGGAGCCGGCCTACATCGAGCGCTACTCCTGGACCGGAGTAGTCCGCGAGTGGGTCAGCGCTCTGCCGATCTGGCTCGAGACGACGGAGAAGCAGGAGGCGGCCTACCTCGACCACTGGCGCCGCGTTCGGCTTGCCGAGGACCGCCGGGAGGGCCAGCGCCTGCAGATGCTCGAGCGCGAGGCCGAAGAGGAGGCGCGCCAGGCCCAGGCAGCGGCGGCGCAGGCTGACATCACCGCCGTCTGGAACACAGCGTTCCCCTGGGCCGGCCCTGCGCCGACGTTGATCGACCTCACCGGTCCCGACGCAGACGCCGCCGCCGACGAGGACGCCTAGGGCAGCGCATCGTCTAGTTTTTTAGTATTTTAATTAATGTAATGTGGACTTTTGCCGGCCTTCGTGGCCGGTTTTTATGTTTAATTAAATGCATGTATTTATTTTCAAAATGCTTGCAATACTTTTTTGAGCGCGCCGATGAAATGGGTCGGGCCAGCGTTGGGCGCTCGCGTCGATCCAAACACAGCGCCGGACGTTTGTGTCCGCCGGGCCGACCCAAACGGACAAAAGGCGAACAAAAGCGCCGGCCATTTGGGTCGGCCCGTTGGAGTTGCTCTAATTGATGTCTTCATTCTGAATGTACAGTACCCGTACTAGCAGCAGGAACCACCATTATTGATTGTCCCGAGGTAAAACATTACTCTGTAAAATTAGTGGTGGCGACTCCTTTACTAGTACTACTATACCGAGAGAAGTGTACTACTTTGTTACACAAAATTTATAGCGATGGTGGCTCACTGTGTCAGCTACTCTACTCATGTTCACCTCTTTCTGATGCGACGTGGGACTTGTGCAAAAAGCACTTGAGTAGCAACAGGCGGGACCTTTGTGTTTACTCGGTTCTCGGTCCATTCGGGTATCCAAGGGCTAAAACCGAATACACCGGACTAAGTTTGGTTTTCATCGAATGCAAACTGAACGTACAACCGAGGTTCTCGGCTTCGGTGAATTCGGCTCCGGTGCCGGTTAGTTTGGTTCGGGACATCGGTTTTCGGGTTATATGCCCAGCCCTACCCGCCGCCACCGTCATCAGGGCCACGCGTCAGTGCCGAGCGCCCCTGGTAGCGGCGGAGACGAGGAAGAGGGAGGGGGAGAGCTCGGAGGCGGCGCTAGGGTTGCCCTCGAGTCGCCTCAGAGGAGATGAAAAGGAAGGGGGGAGGGGGGGGGAGCTCATCAGTATTGATAGTTTATCTATATATTTCTGTGACATCAATTCTGACCCAAACGCGATAAAAGTTGTCGGAGAAGTCTTGCGACAGGGGCTCGGCGAACAGAACTTCCTCCACTTTAGCAGCAAGAGATGAGACTAGATGGGCGTACAGATCTAGTACATCATGGATTTGCGCCCATATCTCGATCGTGTCCATCTTGACGGTCGTTGGCTTTGTCACCTCATCATAAGGTTTGATGACCACTGCGTCTCCTAGGAACTGTCATGGGCCATCGTTCACGACTCTCTCCCAATCCCCAAGACATCAGAATTGGACTGTGTATACTGTATAGGTTATCTTCCAGCGGTCTGAACTTGACCTCTTGTAAATCCCAAGCAGATCTCATATTCTAGAGGAACCACGTCTGGCTATAGTTTTTTTTTAACTGTCTGGCTGTGCCTCACGTTTAGATGGCTTTACAATGTAGCAGCATGCCCTAGGGCGTTGCACTTCTTTCCCCGGCCCAGGGACGGCCCTGGCCGGGGCTCCTTTTCCCCATCGCCTCCTCTCCTGCCCCCGATGGCGATCTACACCACCGCAACCTCGCAAACCGCAGCCGCCCCGCGCCGAATACCAGTCGGACTGAGGGCGGGTTCGTGCCGGATTTGGATCGCGTCGATTTGACGCGCCGGTTCGCGTCCAATCCACGCGAGGCGCCAATATAAGCGGCATCCCTCTCCCCAAATTCCAAACCGAAACGCGAGCCCCTGGCCTGCCCTGTCCTCGTGCGGCGTTCCAATTGAGAGCAATGGCGGGGCCCAGGAGCAGGAAGCGCGCGGCCGCGGAGGCCGCCGGCACGAGCAGGACGGCGGCGAGGCCGGTGAGGCGCGCCAGGGTGACGCCATAGCCCATGCCCGAGGCGGAGCACTTCGCCGAGAGGCGGAATCTGGTGAGCACCGAGCAGACTCGATGAAAGTCGCCGACGACTCTTCCGGTCTTCCCCGGATGCGTTTGCTAGGCCTGTAGCTCCGGTGTCTTCGAGTAGGGGAGCTCTGATTCTGCCGCGAGGCCTACATTGGTCGGGTCTCTCTCACAAGGAATTGGGGTGCGGTGCTGACTAGGAGTACTTGCCGATCAGTAGTTGCAGCCTGTTGGACTACAGCGCCTGCATTGTTGTATCAGATGGATCAGTAATTACTTGTCGATCAGTGATTTTGCCGCGAGGCTTACAGGGCATGTTTTTGCCAGCCCAATCACAGCATATTTTCCCACTCTAGGAACAGATATAGACGATCACTGCAGTGGCGGTTTTCTACACGCGCACTGGCCTGCAAGATATAATGTGCTAATGGCTTTGATAGAGCTGTCGGTCACAAGTTTCTTTGACCACACTACTATCGCTGACTCTGATAACCGCTTTTTGATGCTCTGTTATAGTATGATTTAAAGTGTCTGGCCACTTCATGAGTATGCATAAATGCATTGTCCCTTGTTTACGATGTTGCTGTATTGCTTTTCGTTCATCCTGACTTATGGTGTGTTGCTGTGTTCAGGAGGATCTTTGGTTGTCGGCCTTCCCCATTGGAACCGAGGTCTGTGCACATACCTATCTACTGTTGCGCATTATTTTGACAACTATGCATTATGCACTTCTGCTTGCTCTTATTGATTGTCTATATCTGTTCCTACAGCGGGAAAACATTGCCAAGATAAAGGAGTTCAACTGGAACTTTCAAAATCTAGAGGTATATATAGGACATGTAACGCTGCTGGGCTTCTAGTTGGTATTATTGCTTCTTTACCGCATGATTCATGGTTCATTGTTGGTGGGCAGAAAGCTCTAGAAGAAGGGGGAGAGCTGTATGGGAAGACAGTTTACTTATTTGCAAACACCGAACGTAAGTATGCTGTCTCTTGGGATACGTTGAAGTTTACATCTCTGATGCATTCTACATATCAGCTTTCGAAATATTTTTGTAACCGGCAATAAACTGGTGTCATTGAGGGCATTGTTTCTTGTTTGAATCATCTGGGGTAAATTTTGTTGTGAAGTTAATGATATAGCCAAGGAATCTGTTTGTGGTTTAGAAAGTTTCAGTAATGATGCCGTAGAGCTACTTTTGCGTGGTTTATTGGTGCTGAAATGTTTCCTCTACACAGCCACCAAGTAAATGATCCTTTGTTAGATCTTTTTAAAATTAAAATTACTCTGTTGTTTCCCTATATGATGAGAAATGTCAGGGTCGGTGGCTAGTACATTGGCACTTTGCAGTTGATTGGTATTTCTGGGGTTTATGTCTGCTAACATTGATTTGTTTCACCATTCACATCATAGATATACTGAATATTGAAAGTGGATGTGTTGCAGAAACAGAATCATCACTGTTATCTGTTTAATTTTTTCTTGGACTGTACTAGCATGTCGAATAGTTACCTCAAGCAATTTCTCTGATTGACTTATTTCTGTTGGTCTGCAGCTCAGCAATTGCATGTTAACGGCGAACAGAAGATAGTACTTGTTCGTACTGTAGTCGCTGTGGGTTCTCATTCCTTCCCTTGATTCGAACATTTATTCCATAGTTATGTTTACCATCTTGTCTTAACTTCTGTAGGCACTGATAAGAAATGCATTGCCTGAACAGGAAAATGTTTCTCCGATACACCATATCTTGAGTTACATCTTCTCATGGTTATGCTAGCCAACTATTTTTGTTTATCTCTTGCATTACAGAAAGATGCACACCTGTCTCACCATTTGTAGCCTTGCAGGCATAAACTACAAGAACTATTTTTTAAAATTACATATCTTTTTGCTAGCAATTCCCTTGTTCTTGCTGGTGATGTTACCACTGTGAACCTTTGTACCGCGGGACTAAAAACCTTTAGTAATCGTGATCCTGATAAGAACATTTACTAGTCTGTACCCTATTATTCTGTAATAATGCCAGTCTCAAAGCATTCCTTCCTAGTATACCTCTTATGTAATGCGTAAGGAGTCAATAAGCCCCATATTCTTGCCACATTATTTACTCCAAAACATTTCACTGGTGCGAGTTACTGCCTCTAACCCATGCTCTGAAATGTTTTTCCTATTCTGCTGAAAGTAGCTTGCAGTGGGAAATGTTTCTTGGCATATTTGTAGCTTATGATTGTTTCATCGACTGAGACTAGATATTTGCTATTTATTTCCTGATGCTGGATCTCATTTAGCTCTTGCAATTATGTGTGTGGTTCAGGTTGATTGTCCTTGCGCCCCGTCAGATAAAGTTGGTATAAATTCTGTCCAAAGGGCATATGAAGAAATACTACCAATGAGAGCAATGAAGATGTCCTGGGTGCCCTATGTTCCACTCGAGGACCGGTATGTCCATGCTATCTGTATGAGTCGCATTTGTTTATTTCTGCTTTGGCCTTTTGGGTGACTATATGTTCTTATATTTGTTTGCCCATCATCGCAATTTTGCAATGTTGTTCACTTCACTTTTTACTTGGTCTATAGGCTCAGCAGGATTGAGGGTTTGAAAACAAAAATATTCACTCTTCATTGCTCCCAGCGAAGGTCAGTTTTATTCACAGTATTCTCACTTCTCGCTTACAGTTGGTGCTTGAAGGCATACATTCATGTTGCTGTTATTTTTTAGTTTACGGGGGATGTTGTCATGCAGTAATATGTGGCGTGTAACTGTCTCGAACCTCGACTTTTTTTTGTGATTTGATACATTATCTTAAGTTTGTATTTATTACAGGTCTGCACTGAAGCATCTGAAAACTGAGCAAGTCAAGAAGTTTGACTACTGCATGCCATGTAAGCTGCATTAATTGGGATTATTTTTCGTAGGGTCATTGCGTTTGGATCTCCTTCTATCTAATAACTTTAGAGAGGCTCTATTTCTGTACCTATCTGTGATTTGGTCCAGCCTAGCATGTTAACTACACTATCTGAATTTGCGCATGAAGTTCTGTGAGGCTGCGACTACCTGTAGTTAAAGGGTTGCAATGCAACAGTATGTTATGGAGTTAGTAGCCCTTTCCTAATCGATTGCTGATTAAACTGAGTGATATTTGAGTTGCATGTTATGCTATGGGATTAGTAGCTCCTTCCTACTTAATTGCTGATTATACTGATTGGGAGTCAGGTTACATGTGACTGAGTTGATTGCTTGATTTGCTCTTGTTGGATGCCCATATTGCATTAACAAAACTATAAATTGCATACATTTGTACTCCCTCCGTCCGGAAATACTTGTCATCAAAATGAATAAAAAGGGATGTATCTAGACGTATTTTAGTTCTAGATACATCATTTTTTATCCATTTTGATGACAAGTATTTTTGGACGGAGGGAGTACTCTTATAGGTATCTAATAACATTTTAAGATTAACGCTTGCTTATTCTCTGTCTCAATCAAGACTTCTCTTGCAAAAAATGGTCTTTCTTTCCAATTGTGTATTGCATATGCGCATTGGTTTGATCTTTGATGGTCTTTGTACATTCAATCCAAATTTGTCACCACATGCCAAAGCTCAAGGTTCAGATTATCACACAAATAACCTCAGCTCAACACATCCACCTAAACAATTAAACAGCAGACCGTGGGATTTAAAAAAAAATACATGCACACATCCTCACGTTGTTCGACGGGTAGATTAGATGGTTTGAGTTAGATACGTTATATTTGAAGTGTTTGGTAATATGGTTTTCTGCAGATTATATGCCGCTTATTTCTCCTGAAGAGGACCAAGATACAACTGTCGATATCATATATCCTCTAGAACGCTCGGTAAGCTTCTTTTAGTAGGTCCATTGTTATGCGGCCTAAATAGTTATGAACTTCTGTTGCATCTCTTATATATACTTTCTTAAAGTAAGCAGTTCACTATATTTCATCTAGGAGTCATAATTACTAAATTAATAAATCTCGCAAGAGAACATTTTGGATTTTGTCACCGCAATCTGCATCTAAACTTAATCCACATGAGCTACCTTTTTGGGCTTATATGGGAATAAACAAAGTTGGGTTAGCAGATAACTCGAAGTGGTGAAAGGTGTGACCCCCTGCTAGGGGTGCAGAGCGGCGCCCGACCTGACGACCCGTCCCGCATCCAGCTTTGCAGAATCTCATCCCTTCATTACGAGAGTTTAGAGCTGTCAGTTTATTTTGAACTGACTTACCATGTTATGCGGGACCAGCAGGACCCGCATCTGCATCCCTACCCCCTGCTACGAAATCTCACCCCAAGTTCCACTTAGTAATATTGTACACAGGATTTTTGATTGCAAATAGCTGTTAATTGTTGTTATCATAAACTTTTGTGATTTCTGTTGCAGATAGTTTGCCCGTTTGACTGGGAAATGGATAATTATGAGGTGTGTGTATATTTGGTTTTTACTGTGATGGCGCACTATCCTTTGAAGAACATCTGTGTCCAATCATTGTGTTGCAATGCAGGAGTTTACTGACGACCTAGTTAAAGCTGAGGAATTGCCAGAGGATGAGAGAGAAAAATTTAAGGTGCACATTGCAGTGATTTATGTGCTTGGTCTATTATAAAGGATACTTAGCATAGCCTATGATCAATTAATCATTGCCTCGATAAGTTTTCTTCTTCCTAACTTTACTGCCTCATTTCGTCAATAGGAATTCGTAAAGGAGAAGGTTAGAGAAAGGAAGCGCGAGCTGAAACAGGTTCACAACTAACCAAGATGTTATTTATTTTCGCCCGAGATTTTAGTGTATCCTAATACTATGCTGCTGCGAAACTTCTGCAGGCCAAAGAAGCCAGAAAAGAAGCTATTGATAACATGGACCCTGAGAAAAAGAAGGCGTTTGAAAACATCAAATTTTACAAATTTTATCCTGTAAATGCCCTGGACGCTCCTGATTTAAGCATACAAAAGGTACGCATAAATGCTACTCGGTATTCTAGACTGGACCATAAGAGCTTGTGCTGGATTTGATTATGTATCTATAATTGTGTTTTGCAGGCAGATTACATCAATAGATATTATATGAAGGCGCACAAACAGAGTTGAAGACCAAAAGATCTATCCTCACATTTCGTGTGGGCATTACAAATTAAGTTGGCTTGAAGAGCCAGTAAAGAATTTGAATGGCAGGGGAGATTATCTTACTCAATATATTCAGATGCAGTTCCTTGTTGAACCATGGATCGGATGAATTGTGGCACCCGAAGTGTATTTGTCCTACAGTTACACTCAAGACAGACTCCTGCCAAGCCTTAAGAGCATCTTACTTGTGCATTCTTTTTCATTGCGCACATTGTAAATCCTACTAGTTACGGTAAAGGATTGGCTTAGAAATGAGCTCTATGTGAATCTTTGAGTCCTCAGATTTTGCAACGTTGTAGCAATAGCTCTATTTGATTCCGTATGGTTTGCTGCTGTGTTGTTAACACGTTTGTAGCAATCTCAACTAGGTGAATTATTTGGATGCCCATTGCCTGGAACATTTTTATGTATGAATCCCACTATGGCACTCGCTCCCTGGGTGACACCGCAGCGATACCTAGCGCCACCGCAAAACCAAGCCGGAGCGCGAAGGCCGCTTCTCAGCATTGCTTCTGCATGTTTAGAGAAGAGAAGAGACCAGTCGGTATGGCTACTGGTACAAGCAGCTGCGCTCGTACCGTTCTGGAACTTTGATGCACTCCTTCAACATCATATAAAAAAGAAATGAGTCCCACTTTGATACAACGGCACCGATGTTAGCTATGTTTGTAGCGCGAAAAAATAGACTTGTACGTTGTAACCGAGTACTGCTAGCCACTAGAGACAACGGCTGCTAACGACTGATCCAAGTGCAAATAATTTATAAATCTACTACCACTATAAAAAAAAGAGAGGGCGAAAAATCAGATCATCCTATCCATCGAAATCTGTAATCTGATGATCTACATCCCTCCAGCATACTAAACGCGTTTTACGCTTTAATTACCCATCATGCCATTACCGCCGCCGCTCTCCCATCGCGTGCGCATACTCCCCACCTCGAGCGAACAGTTAAAAAAAGAGGAACGCGGCCACCATCCACGCACGCGCACCTCGAGCGAACAGTTCACCAAAAAAGGAACACGGCCACCATCCACCCACGCGCCGCCGCCAGCGCTCCTTTGCCGCCCCTCTGTCGTCGCCGCCGTCCGGAATAGCCCATCCTCGTCGGCGCCCGCAACAGCAGCAGAGGGCCCTGGCGTTCCTTCGTCCTCGTCGTCGTCTGCAAATCCCGCACGGCCCCTGCCCACCCCGACCATCCTCGCACGCTGCCTGGGCGACTTGGCGGGCCGGCGGACCTGTGGACCTCCGCCTCCACGCGCCGAACGACCTCCGCCCGACCACCTCTTTCCCGACGTGTCGGCTGACTGGCGACCGCCTTCTCTACGCGCCGGCGGACCCCTGCCTCGACTTGTGCCGCCTCTACCTGTTTCCCGACGTGACGGCGGAATGACAGACCTCCGGCTCGACGCGTCGGCGGACCTCTGCCTCCCCAACCAGCTGAGCGAGCCTCCCTTTGGTTTTTTCTGGTATGGATTCCTTCCCCTCTTTGCGTGTGTCTACCACTGTGTGCGTCCGTGCTCTGTGTGGGTGTTCTGCTTGTGAGTGTTCTGTGTCTGGATCGCTGGCATGTGTGTGCTCCGTTACTGAATGACAAATTTCTGAATTTTTGCCATGAACAATATTCACGTTCTTTCAGGCAGCTCGCCGGCATCCATAATGGTCTGCCATTTTAGAATTAATCAAGATTACCTTTCAGGCTTCTTCCGTTTCCTAGCTAATTCCCTCCTTGTAGGCCCTGTTGTGGTTTGAAATTGGACGTATACACCTGATCCTGCTTTTTCTACACCACCAACTTTACTGTTGATTAGAACTTAACTTCAGGATAAAAGCATGTATAACATGGAATGAGAGGAAGAGGGCTCTCAACTACGCATGTTGATTATACTGTTTAGTGTTAGCTCCATCAATACTGATACAGATAGGATTTCCTGTTGTAGATAGGTAAATATTTTGCAACTAATGTAATCTGGTAAATAAGCTAAAGTATTATGATAATGCCACCTTACTGCTATCTCAAAATATGATGCGATTATTCAGTATCCATTGCCGGATATAGTCAGACATAGGCATCAAATCAAGTCCCCCTTAAATCATTTAACTGCACATCACAAGTATCAGCCTCCAACTGCCACCAATATGGCAAGAAACAAGGCATGCTGATCTAATAATCATCTTTATAAATATTTTTAACCTAACAAGTGAGTTGATGATCAGGAAATCATGCTTAACTATCAATAGGTGATCTCATTTCTTGGTTCAGTGAAGTGATTATGTGGAGCTTGTGAGGAAAAAAGATAGGACAAGAAGCCTAGGAGGTTGTCTACAGCCACTGCCCTGGTATGTGACCTGCTTGCATCTTTTCCTGATTACCTCACAACTGCAATTGTCTAAGTTTTATATTATCCATCATTTTATCAGTTTATTTCATGAGTTTGTTTTCTCGAATTACATGTATGCGTTGATGACCTGAAATCTTAATATATATTTGTTTGACAGTGAGTGCTGCTGAACATGTAAGTATAGTCGGGAGAGTCATGTACTTGCTCGATGCCATAGCTCACCCACCCCGAGTTGTGCCACCCTCTTCTAGCCGGAGGTGCCGCCGTCGCCGCTGTCGAGGACATCTTAATATTAAACAATAAGTATTATATTCATCAAGAGAGTTTCCTCGCTATGTGGTGTTCACATTTGTTCTCTCCAAGATCATGTAGCGGTGTGATTATTTTTTGCAGTTTCCCTAATTACCCTTTTCTCTTATTCTATCTTCTATATTGTTGTGTTCACAACACTGGAGGGATCTTACTGAAGGAAGATTTAATAATAGGTAGAGTTTTCGTACTTACTGATTATATATATTGACATATGACCATAACTGAACAATGTTGAGTTTTATCTTCTAAATTAGCATGGATTTTTTTCTGCTAAAAACATTTTCCTATGATATTTTGCAATTTCCATGTTTCGATTGAGCTTGTTATGATTTATCGGTAAGTCCTCTCTCAGCTTTTAGATTTGTGCTTAGATTGTTATATATAAGCCAAAATGAATCTATGATAAGGGAAATAATCTGACTAAGCTTACTGTATGAATGAAACTGAAGAGTGAAGTGATATTTGTTTCTACCATTGCGTAGCTTTACCATCACCGATCCAGGTTAAGTGTATAATTTGTTTTTCTATGCATTATTCGGATACAGAGGATTCAAGCTGTAAAAAATATGCAGTGGATTCAAGGTTATGCAGAACATTATCGCAAGCTAGCATTTCCTGTGAAAAGAAGACAATTATCTAGAACACGATTAATTTGTAGAAAAAATGCTGATAGGTAAATCTAGATGACCAGCCGACAGAAACTTTACCAGGTTGTTTATTTGTATGAGTTACAATCTATGTTTCTCATTTGATGTTATAGAAAATGTTCTGATGGACTCACTGTTTTTGCTATCTTGGCCTATGTGTTCATCGCAAGTTGTTAGATTTGTCTATAGGGTTTACCATGTGCATTCATTTGATCACTTTCATCAAATTGCCTTTCTACCATTCAAATTCTTAACAATGTGAATTTTCTTCATGCTGATGGATTGGCCAACTTGTTTTCTGCATCTATGCGATTGCCGATGGAGCAAACAAATTTTTGCTACACTATGAAGTTTCTTTATCTGGGACGTTGAGAAGATGTGAGATTGCATTGTCTTCTTGTTATTAGGGAGACATGGACTTCCCGACAGTTCGAACTTAGGGATTCAATTTTGTAGTCCAAATATGATCTCCTGACCAGACTGGAATAAGCCTCTTTGTTTTGTTTTCATTTTCGCAGCCCCAAGAGAAGTGCAGAAATGGGTGTTGTGTTCCATGAACACTTGAAATAATTCAGTTCTGGTTTCTATCAATATATTGTTTGTACTGCATATATATTATTTTTAGCTACGCAATTTCCTTCGACAGGCAAAGACTTGTCTATTATTATCTTTTGTATTTGATGGAATGTTGTAACGAGACAAAACCTTCGAGGCAAGAAACAGGGAACAACAAGCTTGATAGTATTGTACATTTTTTTTATCACTGGAAATTTATGTGTACTCATTATATAGCTGGAAAACTGAATGAAAATTAATGTGTGCAACATTATTTTTGCATTAATCAATACGTGCATTTGCACGTACACGATTACTAGTTAACACTAACGGCACATTCACTGTAGCAGCATTCCTTGCTGCACCGTATAGAATTTTGAATTGTTTGCAAACATTTTGGAAAACATGACCAGGTTTTTGAAAAACAAATCCGAATAAAATTTGAAATTTCTATACATTTTTTTGAAAAACCTGAACATTATTGGAAAGTTCCACCATTTTTCAATAACTGAAAACCATATCATTTTCCAATATAACAAACATTTTCTTGAAAATGTAAACATTTCAAAATTTCCTCAATTTTCTTTGAGTTTACGGAAAATTTTAAAAACATGCACAATTTTTAATTTGTGATTTTTTTGAAAACGAGAACATTTTTTGAAATTCCCCGCACATTTATGAAATTTTCGAACAAATTTTCAAACATAAATGTTTTTTGAATTTGTGCACAAATTTAGTAAACAAGAATATTATTAAAATTCCCAAACATTTTTCAAACTTCGGCAAACATTCTTGAAATTTATGAGCAAACTTTGAACTTGAATAATTTTTAATTTGTGAACAAATTTGGAAAACAAGAACATTTTTTACAATATCTGAGCATTTATTTTATTTTGTGAGCATTTTTTATTTCCGAATATTTCTATATAAGCGACAGTTTTAACATATTGCAAAAAAATTGAAAATGGGAACATTTCTTAAATTTAGGACAAATATTTGAAAATGCAATATTTTTAAAATGTATGTACATTTTTTAAAAGGATTAAAATTGAAGAAAAGGAAAAGGAAAAAATAATTAAAAAAGGAGAAGAAGAAACGAAAAAAATGA